CAACAGCAACAGGAGGCGTACCGCACCGCGACGCGTTGTCACATCTGCGGGAAACTGTTCGCGCGGGAGGACACGCGAGTCCGCGATCATTGTCACTTAACCGGTAGATACCGCTGGCCAGCGCATTTCAATTGTAACTTAAATTATAAAAATTCGTAGTATATTCCGGTTGTATTTCACAATTTATCGGGGTACGACACGCACTTTATAATTAAAGAAATTGCTATCGCGTAACGATGGAAATGTAGATCTTTTTCCGATAACGAAGGAAAAATACATTTCGTTTACGAAACATGTCGATAGCACCAAAAACAAAAATGAAAAGAATTTTCAAAAAAATTGTGTCAAATTAAGGTTTATTGATTCCTTCAAATTTCTAAGTGCAAGCCTCGATAAATTGGCGTCGTATCTCGACAAAGATAAATTAAAAATTGTACGTTCCGAATTTTTAAATTTGTCAGACGAAGAGTTTGAATTACTGACTCGTAAATGTACTCGTCACGGTCTTCGCGTAACAAAGATCCACCGGGTATTACAATTCGCTCAATTCGCCTGGCTCCGCGATTACATTGAACTTAATACGCAGTTTAGAACGCGCGCGAAAAACGATTTTGAAAACAATTTGTATAAATTAATGAACAACGCCGTATTCGGCAAAACTATGGAGCATGTTCGTAATCACGTTGACGTAAAATTATTAACAAAATGGGACGGGCGATACGGCGCGGAGGCAATGATCGCGAAACCGAATTTCCATAGCCGCAGCGTCTTTGCGGAAAATTTGATCGCCGTCAAACTGCGCAAACTCGAGGTGAAGTTCGACAAGCCGATTTACGTGGGTGTATACTCGACATTTCGAAAGTCTCCTTGTACGAATTTCACTACGAGTACATGTCACCGATGTTTCAAGACAAATGTAAGATCATGTATACGGACACGGACAGTCTTATATACATATAGAATGCAAGGACGTTTACGAGACTATAAAACGCGATATCGCTAGATTCGACACGAGCGATTATCCGGCGGACAACGCGTACGGTATGCCTCTCGCGAACAAAAAAAATACCAGGTCTGATGAAGGATGAGAACAACGGTGCATTAATGGCCGAATTCGTTGGACTCAGAGCGAAGATGTACGCGGTGAGGGTGGACGGCAAGAAGGACCCTAAAAAGGCGAAAGGTGTAAAGAGTAACGTCGTAGCGCAAACGATAACGTTCGACGATTACACGCGGTGTTTGAACGAAGAGATCGAAATGACTCGCCGTTAATCGTGTATACGCTCTAAATTACACGAGGTATACACGATATCCGAATCGAAAATCGCTCTGAGTCCATACGACCACAAACGATACGTTGTACCTGACTCGACAGAGACGTTACCATGGGGACATTTGTAATATATGCTTTTTTCAAACAGGGTATATGTATTACTATTATTTTTTACTACTATTATTATTTTTATTATTATGCTTCATGTATTACTATTGTGTATTACCTTAAGTTTCACTTTATGTATGTTTTTTACATTTATATGTATTACTATTATGTATTATCATTATTTTAAGTTTCACTTTATGTATGTTTTTTACATTTATATATATTATTATTATGTATTATCATTATTTTAAGTTTTACTTTATGTAGGTTTTTTACATTTATATATGTATTACTATTATACTTTTGTAGTACCATTTATTATATATATTACTATTATTTTTCATTTCATGTATCGTATGCATTTGTAAGTATTTTATATATATACTTCAAACGAAGATGAATGGGGAGTAATAAAAAAACGTTTATATACTTATATTGATATATTTTTTATATATGTATAAAAGAAAAAAATACACGAATCAAAATTGTATCAAACGACATTGTTTTTGTGTATCCACGAATTGTGCGATCCATCAAATCCCAGCCACTTGACGTACACCCTGTCTCCTTTCCTGCGTAGTACTTTCTCCGACGAGATACACGTCCGGATGAGTAGCGCGATGCAACTCGTGCTCGTAGAACGCTCCAGCAATGGATTTTCCACGATAGTCCTCTAGTAGATTGGTACGCTGCACTTGAACGATCGTAAACACCTCGGTGGTCCAATTTGGCGTGTAACCCTTCTCAAAAACCGTTTTGTACTTGCTCACGCGTACCGAATAGCCAACTTTGAATTTTGCCGAACCATCGATTTTTATCGCGCTGTACACCGTGTCCAAGAGTCTTTCGACGATCGCGGGAGTTACGTCGGCATGCCAATAGTGCGATGCTTGCGCGCGTTGTAATATGATACGAGACGCGGCAGCTCGTCAACCCACTTGTAATTGCCGTGTAATTGAGTGTAAACATCTTCCATATGCCGTTTTTGAGTGTACGATTGAACCGCTCGACCACTGACGCTTTCAACGTCAAATACGTAGAATAGTGATTAACGTCACGTTTCTTCAAGATCTTCTGCACATCGGCGTTGTAAAACTCCTTTCGGTTATCTTCCACTCGTTCGAATTATCTCGGCGAGAGCGTTAGCCGTCTCGCTTCCGCCTTTGCTCTTGAGTGGTACTGCCCACGCGTACTTGCTCAACACATCGACGACGGTGAGTATGTAGTGGTGGCCTCTGTTGAAGCTCGAGTACGGGCGCATCTCGACGATATCAGCCTGCCACAGATCGTCGTATCCCTGGACTATGACGCGTCTTCGCGGAAAATTTCTTCTCGCCGGAGAGTGCAATTCCTCGACGAGTCAGCGTCTCTCGGCGCCAACTTTTCTCTTTTTCATGATTCGACGTGTAATACATACACAGGGTGCAAGAAAAAAATGTATCGTTTCTCGCTGACGCTACTCGACTGACTCGTTTCGTCGATACGCGATTTAATTTATAATAAGACCGGCTTCGCGAAGTTCCTCGATAATGGACAGCATCTCGTTGTCGTGAGCGTTGTTGCCCGCTCGGTGCGAAGCGTCGAGCAATCGTAGACGATCCACCAGCTCGTTGGGATCGTCCCAGTGCACGTAATCGATCGCGTTGTCGTTTAGCGTCATTGCGCGAGGTAATCCCTTTCCAGATTTCTTATTCTGTTTTTGGGTGTCATCGACATCAACGGTGCGATTATGTGTTTGTACTTGTATACTCTGTTGCTCAATAATCGGCCCTGCGAATGATGCTTGTATTTGTGCGCGTTCGTGGCTAGCAGCATGCTCTTGTACTTGTTCATATCGTCTTCCGTGTAGAGGAGATCGTCGGGAATTCTCTTGAAAATCAACTCGTAAAGACCGGGTGTACCGGCGTATCGTACGCCGTCGATAATTTTATTGTCCGCGTCATCCATGTCGAAACGTTTATTGCCAAACATCAATCCATCCCTGTGTAGGTAAACGCCGTACACGTAATCGCTCTTCCGTTTGTCTCCCCTCAGGACAGCCTCGACGTATTGTTGGCCCAGCGGGCCCA